CCAAAGATCTCAGGTATTTCTTTCTGTTCATCTACCTTCATCACCAAACCCCAAAAGGCTTCTAATACTCCATGGATTTTGGATATTGGAGCCACAAATCACATGATCTGTTCTCCATCCCTCTTTACTACCATCAAAGGAAAAGTCACTCACTCTGTTGTTCTTCCAAATGGGAATATAGTCCCTATTACTCATATAGGGACTATTAAAATGACAGACTCAATAATTCTAGATGAAGTTTTATGTGTTCCATCCTTCTCTTTTAAATATCAGCCAGGAAATTGGCACAAACATCGACTCGTTGTCTCATTTTCTCTCCCAAATCTTGTTTTGTGCAGGACCTTTTAACTTGGAAGACAATTGGAATGGCTAAAGTGAGGCAGTGGCTGTACCATTTGCTGCAAGAAGAAGTCTCTCCCACAGCATTGATAGACCATTTACCCATCTTCATTAAGAAAGCTTCTGTCTCAGCATCTGTCACCACCAATTCTAAAGAATTCAACGTATGGCACTATAGATTAGGACATCCCTCAGACTCTAGAATAACTCTATTAAACCTTGATCACACATCCAAACATTCATATGTAAACAAACCATGTTCTATCTGCCCTTTGGCTAAGTTACATAAGCAGCCTTTCAATACTAGTCAACATATATCTAAGCATTGTTTTAAATTAATTCATTGTGATTTATGGGGACCATGTAATGAGACTGCTTATGATGGATCAAAGTACTTCCTCACCATTGTTGATGACTTCAGCAGGTGCACCTAGGTTTATATGCTTAAACTTAAGTCTGAAACATCTAACATTTTACAAAGTTTTTGCAATATGATAGAAACCCAATTTGAAGTTAAAATTAAAGTTATTAGAAGTGATAATGGTGGGAAGTTTGACATGAAAGAATTTTACTCAAATAAGGGAATCATACATCAAAAGACATGTGTTGAAACACCTCAACAAAACGCTATAGTTGAAAGAAAACACCAACACATCCTAAATGTGGCTAGATCCTTAAAATTCCGAAGCAATATCCCTATGAGGTATTGGAATGACTGTGTTTTGACTGCAGTCTACCTCATTAACAGAACACCCACTCCTCTACTAGACAACAAGACACCTTTTGAACTTCTATTCAAAACCATACCTACATACTCTCACCTTAGAGTTTTTGGTTGTCTAGCTTTTGCATCTACTCTCACACATAATAGGCATAAATTCGATCCAAGGGCAAGAAGGTGTGTTCTCTTAGGATACCCTTATGGGATCAAGGGTTACAAATTGTTGGATCTTAAATCAAATAAAATTTTTATTTCTAGAAATGTTATCTTTTATGAGAAGAATTTTCCTTACAAAACTCAGAGTGCAAAATCTGATCAGATGCTAGAACTTTAAAATAATCTTCCAAGCCCCAATGATCTAGTCTATTCTCATCCAACAAATATTAATTTGAACTATCCTGTAAACCAAACTTCTCAATCCATAATAGAGTCTGCTGAAAGTATGCAGCAGGAGAATGAAATCATGAGTCCAAATAGCTCAAATGAACAATTTGATTCCTTCCAAAACACCTGCATAACTCCCACAATTCCTTACCAGCCTCGCATGTCTACGAGGACCAAGAGAGCTCCTTCATATTTGCAGGACTTTGTGTGCCAGCAAGCTGCCTCACTACCCCATTCACAAGAATTGAACAAGGATAAAGGTTCTGTCTTACCAGGTGCTCCTTTCCCTTTATGTGCTACTTTATCATATCAAAAAATATCAGAACCACACAAAACACTTATCACATCCATCTCTGCACACACAGAACCTAACATATATCAAGAGGCTGTAAAGTGTTCTGAATGGAAGGATGCCATGAATGCTGAAATAAAGGCCCTAGAGTTAAATGACACATGGCCTGTGACAGACTTGCCACCTGGAAAGGTAGCTATAGGTTGTAAATGGGTCTACAAAATTAAATTAAAGGCAGATGGGACAGTGGAAAAGAAGAAGGCTAGACTAGTAGCAAAGGGATATTCCCAAGTTGAAGGTCTCGATTACCATAAAACCTTTTCACCTGTGGCAAAGATGGTGACTGTGAGAACTCTACTTGCAGTGGCAGCAATCAAGGGATGGCATTTGCATCAATTAGATGTTAACAATGCATTTTTACATGGAGAGTTAAATGAAGAAGTTTATATGGAACTTCTTCCAGGTTATTCTACAGGTGATCAGACAAAGGTATGCAAACTCAACAAAAGCTTATATGGATTAAAGCAAGCCTCTCGACAATGGTACTCAAAATTATCATCTTTCATTCTTCAACAAGGATTCCAACAATCCAAATCAGATTACAGCTTGTTTACAAGAAGCACTAAGGATTCCTTTACAGCTATATTAGTCTATGTTGATGATGTTATAGTTGCAGGGAACAATATGGAAATTATTCATTCTCTAAAAAATTCACTTAATGAAAAATTCAAAATCAAGGACTGGGTGCTCTAAGGTATTTTCTTGGCATAGAAGTGGCAAGATCACAAGAGGGAATCCACATTTGTCAAAGAAAATATGCACTAGATATCCTGGCTGATTCTGGAATGATTGGTGCAGTGCCAATTAAAATACCACTGGATCAGAACATCAAGCTCTCTAAAGATCAAGGAGAACTCTTACCAGACCCCTCTATCTATAGAAGACTTATAGGAAGATTGTTGTATCTAACTGTCACAAGACCTTATTTGGCATACTCAATTCAGTTACTCAGTCAGTATATGCAAAGCCCCAGAGTCCTTCATTTGAATGATGCGTACAAGGTCTTAAGATATATAAAAGGAGCACCAGGCCAAGGGTTGTTGTTTAGCTCAACATCAGACCTGCAACTGAGAGCATATAGTGACTCAGATTGGAGGGCATGTTTGGATACGCGTAGATCAATAACTAGCTATTCCATCTTCATTGGTGCCTCTTTGGTATCTTGGAAATCAAATAAGCAAAACACCATCTCTAGATCATCAGTAGAAGCTAAGTACAGAGCGATGGCTAGCGTTTGTTGTGAACTATCCTGCCTTAGATACTTATTACACAATTTGCAAGTAGCTCATCCTCAAGCTGTTCTCCTATCTTGCGATAACCAAGCAGTATTGCATATAGCAGCTAACCCGGTTTTCCACGAGAGAACCAAGCATATAGAGCTTGATTGTCACCTTGTTCGTGACAAAATTCAAGAGGGAAGTGTAGTTACAAACTATCTGAAGAGTAACTCACAAGTTGCAGATATACTAACAAACCATTATGCTCAAGTAATTTCCATTACCACATGCTCAAGATGAGAGTAGAAGACATCTACTCTCCATCTTGTGGGGGACTGTCAAAATATGGGAAGCAAAGCCAGCCAACACAGCAAGCAATGTCAGCAGGATCATCTACTCAGCAAAGCCAAATAGCATTAGAAGAATCCAGAAGAAGATGAGCTGGAGGAAGTAGCACATGTTTTATGTTATGTAGTTTTAAATTTGTTGTAAATATTGTTGTAAAGATTCCTTTCTTGTTATATATAGTGGATGGTATACTCCATTGTAAAGTAGAGGAAATTACAGATCATTAATAGAATTCATTTCTTGCATTTGCAAATCAATTCTTATCTCAGCAATTTTTCCTCACCGGCTTCATCTTCCTGAAGCTGATTTTTGTTGCTACATTTATTTTTGCTATAGTGTGATCTAATATTTTTCATATTGCTTATATTATTCCGGTCTTTAATTATTTGGCCGGATTCTCAACACACCTAATGAAAACATGTGATGATGCTAACACATTTAGAGATACTAAAAGTTAATTTCTGATATTATGATTTTTTGAGTTCTTGTTTGCATGATTATTTGAGACAATATATTGTCTGCTATTAACAGAATAAGAAAATTTTACAAAATGATGATATGTTTATCGGTGCTACTATTAGTAACTTAAAGTACTTATTTCATTTTTTGAAACGTATAGAGAAACTGAATTTAGATTTGATAAAATTACTCCAAAAGAAATTGATGCTTAAGTAGAAGTTGAACCTACATTTTATGTATTATTCATAGAAATAAGCACTTTGATCAAAATNAACTCACAACATACTTTTCTACATTTATTCCTGAATCATCTTGCCAATCGCCTCTTGAATTTTCAACTTTTGCGCATGGCGACGTATTTTTTGCAGTTAGCATCTTTAAGCTTTCCACTATTTCTTGTATTGTTTTGGCAATATATGGCTTTTTTTCTCAAGTGGTAGTGCAAAGCCGGAGAAATGCCAATTTGCAATTTTAGTGGTGTTTTCTGACACTGTCGTTTTGGGTTAGCATTGCCATTTAAGAGTTTGTCGCTACTATATCCTTTGATTGTGGCTTTTGGTGATAACTCTTTCTTCAGACTTCCTTTTACAGGATTCATTTCTTACACATGCTAAAAAAAATTTGAATATGTTGAAATTTCGTGGTTTACTTTGTTCAAGTGTTCCACAAACGGTGCTAATTTTTTGATAGTATAAATTGATTCAAATGAGTTTATTGATTAAACAATTACAATCAAATATGAATGTAAATACTATTGACAAATTCTCTCACCTAACTATGACTCTAGTCTTGATGCTTCAACTAGAACAAGAGGAAAAATGACTATTTGAGATGGATATATTTGACTTGCATGTTCTTTTCTTCAAATGCAGGGTATTTGTAAATTTTCCTCCAAGTTTTGGGATAGTTTGACTATTTAAGAAAAAGCAATTATTCTACTTTTCCTCTTAAAATCATGGAACAAACTTGCCAATAAATATTTTTCATGGCTGGAACGGGACCATCCATGTGACAAAAAGACAAGATAAAATGAAAAGTTGTAACTAACATGTTCAAATTCATGTATGCAGTTATGCAATTTGCAAATGTTTTAATAAATCAAGAAACCATATATACAGTTCTTCGACGATATCTTTTATAATCTCATCTCATCCCGTAGTCTATTGGCAAGAAAACAAACATGAAAGTTAAAGGGGCGTTGGATTATTTTGTAATTGCAACGATCTTTATTTTGGTGGTATTTCAAGAATGTGTAAATGGCCGCACATTTCTTCATTCTATCCCTAGGCCTCACCCGGATGATGCAGCTAACTTTGCTCGATGGTTGGTTTCCCAAAGTTCATGGGGTGTTCTTAAGTGAGTATTTTGCAAAATTTATAGCTAGAAACAAACTCTTCAAAAAATATTTTATAGCACAATGATAATACGACGGATTCAATTTTGCAGCACCATATCAAGTGATTGGGGAGGTGCACCTTTCGGGTATGTTAACTCAATCCAACTCCTTACCGTACTTTATCGATCCTTATAGAACATTGATGATCATTCTTGTCGAAAGTCATGAAATTTTTAGATATAAATAAGTAGCAATCTAATTTAACTTGTACTTAGCAGGAATGTTGTTTCATTTAGTGATGGCCTGCCGGATAAAGGCAAAGGCATCCCATATTTCTATCTAACTACCCTTGATCCAACTGCAAGAAATGCATTAAAAGACCAAAGATCTTCCTTAACATTAAGTGAATATAGCCTTGGAACATGTGGCAAATCCGATCCCGAGAACCCAACTTGCTCGAAAATTACACTCATTGGAAAGGTACATGGTTCATCGATTCACTGCCTTTCACTTTATGCTTCTGTCAAATACTGCATTCAAAACATGCATTAATAGTTAGAAATTTGTGTTTTCTTTAGTTAAAATTAGTCTATGGAAATTCGAAGGAAGCCGAATTCGCTCGAACTGCATTGTTCGTTAAGCACCCTGAAATGAAAGGTAAGTATAGGCTGCAATTTTCTTACACTCATTTTACCTTGTGTATTTCGAAAATGTTTGTGTGAAACTCTTTTTTTAATTGTTCGGCAGGCTGGCCTAAGAGTCACAATTTTGAGGTCTTCAAATTGGAAATTGAAAATATATTTATGATTAATTGGTTCGGCGGTCCTAAGCCCCTTACAGTGGATCAGTACCTCCATGCCAAAATGTGACCAAAAGAATTTACCAACTTATTATCCCAAGCCAGATGTAATAATTACTGAAATTCCATAAAAATATATTGGTTTTTCAAGATATTTTGACCTTATATCTATTTCTTAAACATGCATGATCTAATCTGATATTTTCTCCTCATTTTCTTATCCATTTTGGATCTAAAGAAAGTTGTCAAAAATGTTGCGGCCGAGGACGCCACTGCGCACACCGTACCTCCACAACTGATAACACTACATTACCTAGTACAACAAATACTGGCACCAGTACTTCAACTTCAGCACGAAGCTACTCATCGGCTGCTCAAAAATGTTAATTATAAATGAGATTTTAACTTATAATTTGAAGAAGCTAAAATTGACATTCCTTGACAAACCTGCAAACTAGAAGGCTAACATTTTAAGGCTGGTGATTTTGGTGCAAAAACTACTTTATTTATAATTATAGTATAAAACTAATAGAGAGTGACGAACTTCGTATAATGGAACCATACGAGATTCAAGGCAAGCTATGTGGTATGTTAGATTCAACTTGATGTAGAACACATGGCCAAGTGGATTGAAGAACGGTTTCTTTGGCATCAAGGAAGCTAAGAGTCGTCAAGCTAGTTGTACAAGGTTTCTTTGGTATCAAGGTTGAAGTTTGTTGGACTATAATGACCAAATAAAATTCGGGGACAATGATCAAAAAACAACAACCCGATTAAACTTCATAGGCAAGATAAACTAAAATCCGACTCCACAAAATAAGCACATGTTATGCCGGACCCAAGTCAAATGATCCATTTGTTACTTAATGGCTTAATCAAGTGTGATCAATCTGGATCGTTAGATGAGATTGAATGAGTGATAAATAGCGAGCATTGGCGCGGCTACTTCTCTTCTTGGTTGTGTATGTTTCATCTCTTTGTGAGATATTCTCCTTCATTCTTCTGCGAGTGATTTCGAGTTAAAAGGAAACTTCTAGTTTCTTTGTAAGCCATTTTTTGGAGCAGTCATACTAGAGATTGATAGTTTGGATTTTTTTTTTTAGCCATATTTTATTTTGGGAACTTGTATAGATTGTTGGCGATTTGGTGGTGCTGTTTGATCGGAGCTTCGAAGGCATTTCGTTTGGATGAGTTGATTTCTTTGTATGTTGTGTTTCAACCTTCGGATTTTGTGTTTGATATTGCCCTTTTGTTGTGAGATTTGTTCTATTAGAAGCTATGACTTTAATGTTTTTATTTGTGAATATACCACTTTGTCAAAAAGAATTGACATATGCAATGACAAATGAAGTTGGGGCAGAGGATGATTTGATGGAAAAATTGATTTTGTTTTAAATAGTCTAACGATAGAATGTCATGTGACATTATGTCAACTTTTGTGATAATGTAGCATGATTTTTTTTTATTTATTTATTTTTTTTTTTAGTTTGAAAAAGGAGGGCAAGGAATAAATGATGATAGCCTCTATAAACTCTATTTATAAAAAAATAAAATTTGAAAAATACGAATTTCTTAATTTGACATTTATTAGGGCTTGTTTGGGAGTTTTGGGATATTGGTTACTGATATTTTTTATAGTACATATTTCGAGCGTTTATGAACTCCTCAATTTTGAGTGATTTTAGATTTTAGTAACTAGCAATTTATAAAACAATCAAATACATGGTTAAGAGTTTATTATACACTAGTTCTGAATTTTTTTAAGAGAATAAATTTACACGTCCCTTAATATAATTTTCAATTTATAATTTTTTTTAATGAATTTTTTTATTCATAATTGATATTTGATATTTTTCTTATAAGTAAATTTTTTATGTATAAGTTAATATTTGACTTTAAAAATTAATTATTAACTTAAAATGTAAAGTTAGTATTTATAAGTATATTTTATAATTATTACTTATAAATAATTTTTACACATAAGTAATCTTTTTGCTTATAAGTAACTTTTTATATTTTAACACAAAACTGATTTTTATCTTATAAGTAATTTTTTCTTATAAATTTTTGTTAATGTATTTTTATTTACAAGTTAATTTTCAACAGAATATGTTAATTACAAATAATTATTTTATACGGATAAAATCAAAAAAGTATATGAAAAATAGTCAAAACTTGCTAATTTGACGAGTTGAGAGAAACGATCAAAATTATATTACATCGATTTTAGGTGATTTTTAAACCAACCAAAATCGATGATTAAAAAATTAATAAGTATCGACTTTTTCAATTCCTCAAAAATTTTGCCACCTAAAATTGGTTAAAACCAATGAAAGAACTCTCAAGCACGCCTTGGGGACCATTTTGAAAAATTTACTTCAAAGTGTATGCACGAGGTAAAAAGGAGCGTGTTGAAAATTAAGCCCATATTTGGTTTTCAAATTTTTTTTTTTTTCAAGTTCATTTTCAACTACTTATTTAAGGGAATCGATAATTTTAATCAATTTTTTAACAACAAATTTTATAAACTTTTATTAAAATTTATTAAAAATTTGAATTTTAACAAAAACCAAACCGGGCTAAAATGTCAACTCGACACAACATCATTATTTTAAGGTAAAAAGAAGTCCTAAATTTGATGAATGCTAATAATTCTTGACACAGTGTGTCTGTCCCTCAGCAGAAAACACAGCAAATTTTCTGAACAAACAAAGATAAGTTAAGAAACTGCACGAAAAACATTGAAAGATAGAGCCTTCTCTCTTACTTTCTCTCCCACATTCTACGCCACGACTCAAAAGCAACCATCATGGTCACCATGTCTGTTCCTCGCATTCTTCGCAGCCATCATTATGCCCACAAACTAAAGTCAGCACCATCATCATTACCATCCCCAAAGACAAAAAACAAGAAAACGAAGGGTTATATGATGATGAAGAAGAAAAAGATGCAGGAAAAACTCGGGGGTTGAATTCAGGGGCTTTCCTTCACTCACGAAATTCGAAGTATTTTTCTTTATGGGGAATCAAGCATCATGGTCCGGTTCGTTTGCTAGATCAAGCAAATTAATGAGTTACTTTCTTATTTCTACCTTTCTTGCCTAAATTAGAGTCTACCTTTTCTTTAGTGCTTGAAGGTAATTATAATTAATAGATCTTGTTGATTCGAGAGTATAAGAAAAAAGAGTTATGAATTAATCTTGTGGACAAAGAAAAGTGTGTGTGTGTGTGTGCGCGCGATGCGTGCGTGTATCTGTAGCAAAGATCTCTCTATTTCTGGTTTGTATCTTGCTTGGTGTGCGATTTTTACTTCGTTTGGATGTTGCCTTTATGGATCTATGTCTTTTATTTGTAATAATATGAAAAGATTTCTTTCTTTTTGGAAACCCTTTCTCCTGTTCTTGTTTTAGGGTTTGCTAATATTTTTAGGGTTCATGGCTTACCAACCTTCAATTTATCATGGTTTAATAGGATTTATATTTGATCACATAAATATGTATTCTGCTGATATAAATTATACTACTTGCTTGTTGATTCTCGTGGATTAGCAGATCTTTTTGCAGCTTACACAGGAACTGAAGTAACGTTTGACGCGTTTTCACTGATGGCATTTTTGCTTATTTTTCTTCTTTAATATTATCCCTCTAATCCATTCCCTGTGTTGGTTTTGGTGCATTCCTTTGGTTTACTATTAAATTTGTGTTCTAATTTCATTTTCTATTAGCTATCAGCTCTCTCCTGGAGCATTGGTCTGGCATTAATGGTAATTAAATAGATATATAATACGCGCTTTAGCTCGTATGCTGGACCTACACAACATCGAACACGCTAAGAAAACATTAAATGTGCTCGTGAAATATTTGTCCGTTGTCCAAATTCAGTTTCTTTCTTTTTTTCTTTTGGAATGTACTGTTTTTGCAAACACTATCACTGTGAATACATGCTTGACAGCAAAGGATCATCTTAATTCAAATTTCGTGCTTTGACTTGGATCATTTTTCCTTGGCATAATTTCATTCCCTGTAGACATGATCTGCGGCATAGATTTTGCATATTTCTGTTCATTTTCATCACTTTCAACAATGCAATTATTCAATTATTTCACTGTGGTTTGACAAACAGATACACATCCCAAGCTTGAGTCCGCATGCAGCTGACTTAGAATGTGTTTCATTAAGGCTAAAATCAAGAAAATGCAATATAAAATCTTGATGTGGCTTGTCACAAGTTAAATTTAAATCAAGTAATATTTGTACCGAGTGAATTAGCATATATTACACCGAAACCTGAATTTCTTATGGTGTTTTTATTTGTTTCGTTTTTTTGGTTTCCTGTCAGAAATTCCCTGTAATCGAAGATAATATAAGGTGGAAATACTAGGGCTACGGCACAATTGTTAGGTTTGTTATGAATTATGTATTGAGTTGTTTGTACGTTAAAGGACAAGATTTCACGTGGCAGCGGAGCCAGAAAAATTTTATCTAATCAAACTGCAGCGAGGGCACTTCATAGCCAATTTTTTTTATTTTATGAATTGAACTAATTGTACACAATTAACTTTGACATTTCAAAATGTGTCAAAATCCATGTCGTTGATGGTTTAAAGCATTGTAAAATTAGTGTATAAAAAGTTATCACCTCACAATAATGTCAAACTTGACGTAACTGTAGCAAGACTCACTGCAACAAAAACAGTTTTTTGCAACGTTCAAAAAACGTTGTCGAAGATTTTTTGCAACGTTTGGACGTATGTTGCAAACCTCGATATTGTCGTAGAGTAGAAAAATATGGCAACGTTGGAACGTTGCCAATAACATTTTCGGAACGTTCAAAAAAAGTTGCGAATAACATTTTCGCAACGTTGTGAATAACATTTTTACAACGTTTTTTGACTCTAAATTTTTTGTGATATTGTTTGACCTTTGCATAGGTAAAATAAATAAAAAGAAATCTATTCATCCAACAATTCACACAAATTAACTAATAAAATTCTTAATAATTTCATTACGAATTTTTGAATCCATACAAAAATGACCTAGAACAAAAAAGACAAGGTTCAATAATTTCACCA